TTATTGAAGGAGCAGAATCAGTGGATCAGACACTATATCAGAGACTAGTTTTCACTGATATATTTGTCTCATACTAGGCCAGACCTAGCCTATGCATCAGTTGTCAGCAGATTTATGCACAAACCTCAAAAACAGCATCTCGAGGCAGTATACCGAATTTTGAGGTATCTAAAGAGAACACCTAGAAGAGGAGTCATTTATGAAAAACATGGCCATTTGGATCTTCATGCTTTTACCGATGCTGATTGAGGAGGAGATCGGGACAGCAGAAAATCTACTTCTGGATACTTCACTCTGGTTGGTGGAAATTTGGTTTCCTGGAAAAGTAAACGGCAAAAGGTGGTTGCAATGTCTAGTGCTGAAGCAAAATTCAGAGGAATAGCAAAGATTACTGAAGTTCTATGGCTCAGAAAACTACTGTCTGAACTTGGGTATAAACCTAAGAAGAGTTGCAAACTGTATTGTGATAATATGGCAGCAATCCGTATACCAATCCGTATATCAGAGAATCCAGTCCAACATGACCGCACAAAGCATGTGGAAATTGATAGATATTTCATGAAGGATCATCTTAAAGCAAAGGTAATAAGTCTTCCTTTTGTGAGATCAGAAGATCAACTGGCAGATATCCAAGGCTGTTACATCACAAGTGTTTGAAGAAGCATTGTCCAAGTTGGGTGTTGGAGATCCTACGACCCAACTTGAGGGGGAGTGTTAGAAAATATTCTGTAGATAATTTTGTAAATTAGAATATTTACTTGTATTTAGTTTATTGTATCTAATCAGTCCTTGATATTAGGAGTGATTACAGGCAACTAATTAGGCAAGCTGTGATGTATAAATGGCTGTATAACCGGACCTTTTCAAGCAATACAGAAAACCCTTAAACCAAAAAATCAGTTTTAATCATTAATTTTGATAAATATAATTTTCTTTGGACACCCTTGGGTGCCCATCATAACTATGGTTGGATACAAGGTTCACACAAAAATAATTGAGACACATGTTACTCCCTTCGTCCTTATTGATTTGCCTCGACAATTGATTTAGTAGAATTGAAAAGAGGCAAAAGTGGTGAGATCAATTGTGTTATGTGAGAGTAAGTTGTGGTTCTTATAATATAACCACAAATAAAAAAAGAAGGAAAATTTGATTCTAATAATTCAACCTTTGAGCGATTTAATTTTATTAATCCAACCTATGAGTTATTCCGGAATAATCTAAGCTTTAGGGGTTATTCAATTCTAATAGGTCAAAGTGACCGGTGACCTAACGAACAGGTAATTGACCAGAAAAAAGCCTTCTTCTCTCTCCTCCTTCTCCTCCACCATGGCACCACCATTCTCTCTCCTCCTTCCCCTCCATTACTTTCAGCAATTAAACCACCACCCTACCACCAATGAAAACCCCAACCTCCATCAAAAAACCCTTCCGGCAACCACCTTCTCCCCGTTACCCCCCTCCACCGCAACAGCCATCGAAAGCCTAACCATCCCCACCACCAACGAAAACCCTTACCCACCCTCAAAAATCTCCTCATCCAATTGAAAATCTCTAAAAGGAACCACCGACCTCCCTCGAAATTTCGAAAACCCAACCTTGAAAACCCTCCCACATCGACCTGAAGATTGCGAGTAATGTGATTTCGTTTGGGGTTTTCTTTTTTAAGTGGATGAGGGGGGCTAACGGAGGGGGACGCTGACAGAGGTAGGCTTGGGGTGGTGGTGCGGCTGGTTATTGAGGTGGGGGTTGCTTTATGGTTTACATGGTGGTGAAGGCGGTGGAGAGTGAAGGAGATTTTAAAAAGGAGGGCTTGTGGTGGAGGTGCGGCCATGGTGGTGTGGCTGACGGTGTTAGGGAACAACAAAAAGGGGTAGCTTGAAAGGAAATTTTTTTTTTAAAAAAAAAAAAAAAAAAAAAAAAAAAAAAAAAAAAAAAATTAGACCAATTAAAACACAACACGTGTCAAGTCCTTTTCAACCGATTCCCAACCGGTTTCGGCTCAATAAAATTGAATACCCCCTAAAGCTTGGATTATACCTGAATAATTGAAAGGTTGGATTATTAAAAATAAAACGTTCAAAGGTTGGATTATTAGAATCAAATTTTCCAAAAAAGAATCATTTATAATGCATTTAGATAGATAATTAATAAGGAAGAGAAGGGGAGAACTAGTAAAGACGAGTTTTCCTTCCAAATCTCTCTATTGTAGGTCAATTTATTACAATTTGATCCCTCCAATAGTACATTTCTCTTCCCTCCAATTCCCTTCCTCATTTGTTATCGAAATGAATACAAATGAAAGACACTCCATCCTTCTATTTCCCTTCCCTTCCTTTACCTCCATTTCCATCGATCTAAAAAAAAGTGTGAAAGACGACCTTAAATGGAATATGGGGCAAATAATTACGTACCTGAGGGAGTAGCATTCTTCTGAGAACCAAGCCTTTACCGATAAGAAAAATGAAAGATGGCTTCGTGCACCCAGCTCATATATACTTAGTTGAGTTGGTTCCGCTTGTTTGAAAATTCTATTTACCAAAAAGAGTTTGTAGAAGGTGCACAAATTGCCCTCATCAGGGGCATCAACAAAGTGGAGTGATGCAAAGAATTTTACTTTCTAGTCTCCCTACAAACACTTTCGAAAAACTCGTAGCTGGTGTTGCATCATGGCTCTGTAGATAAAGCCATGTTTGAGTAGCAACTTTGTAAATTGTAACCCACAGCTTCAAGATGCAGCTAACTGCTAGATTCAACAAAAGGGGTTCTAATTTGACACAATATATGATTATACGAGTAATAGAGCTTCAAACCTCAAAACAGCTAACTAGTTTAATGATTTTACAGCAGAAATCCTCCTATCAAAACTGATGCATTAAGCAACCTATCAAAAATAAGGAAAATGATCTCGTATAATCCAGTAATTAAATCCATTGCTTCATATCGCACTTACAGTGACCCTTCCGTTGGTAACCCCAACTCAAAAAATGATACATAAGTTAACGAAAAAGTTAGTTGTTGATATTTTTGCAGAATTTAGCTCTGTTTTCAGCTTTCGAAAATGAAAACCTATTTTAATAATTAAATGTGTACAATAATTATGTCAGAATCAACCGCGGCCAACTCTCTTCCATGATTCCATCATGGCTCTCGAAGCCTGAATCCATACTCTTGGTCGTTGATAAGCAAAGGAGCAATTCTATTCATCTCACTGTTGTTTATGGACTGCATACAATTGAGACTAGGAGAGCTCTATGGAGGGATTTTTTGAATGTGGCAGTTACTCTCTCCCCTTGGGTGGGGGATTTCAATACTATTTTGGCTACTGAAGATATAATTAATGGAGTTCCTGTTACTGTGTATGAAACTCAGGATTTTGAGGCTTTTCTTTCTATTTCTGACGTTCCAAGTACAGGGTTTTTTACCGTTGGAAGAGAAAAGGGAAGAATTCTCTGTTTGGATTAGATAGAGAAAATAGCATAGATAATCGGTTAGGTAATAGAGCTCTTCTTATGCTTATTTGATACGATTTTACACTTTAGTAAGAATCCAATCTTTATGTTAGCTGTTGAAGGGAAAAAGGAAGGGAGAAGTAGGAAGCCATCTACAAAACCACCCAAGTTTAAATAGGTTCTAGAGCCACCACTACTGCACTAGCCTGTTGGAAGTTTCAAAGTTAAAACTCAAGAGTGGGAGTATTATACTAGCTTCTAAATGGTAATGACTAGTGGGATGTATGGAACATACACGATACACCTGCATGCTGGATTGCTGGTCAGGCCAGGCTCGTGGCGCATGCTGCAGTCTGTGATTTGTTTTTGGAATTTGTGTATGTAATTATGATTTTGTCACAGATTGTACCGATGTGCATTTATTCCTAATTTGGCTGTCTATTAGATAGCCATTAGATAATTGATCCTTCGGTTTTGGTCTCCAAGATCATTGTTACAAACAGGAAAAACACAAAAAATTTCAAGTATATTTATCTCCTGTTTTGGGCTTACATTCTTTGTTCACTTTTAATCAACTAAATCCCACTATCTTATTCGTTATACACACTTTTAATCTACCAAACCCCATTACGTTTCGGTTTTTTTTTTTTTTTTTTTTTTTTAAATTTACCTTTAATCAACCAAATCCCACTATGTTATCATTTTATACCTTCCTAAAAATGTGTGTAAAGGCAAATAAAATTTTTAATTGGGGATGGAGGGAGTACAATTAAGATTTGAAGCTAGCCCTTTAAAGAAATACCGCAAAAACCTAAGGCATTACCACCCCATTTATATCCTTCCTATCCCTCATTCACTCAATCGTCTGCTGCGGTCAACACAGGTAAGAGGGTATTTCTGGGGGGACTGGAGATGGTGGAGAGAGGGAGATAATCGCGGGGGGGGGGGGGTGTGGGTGTATGGAAGGAAAGGGTATTTCTTTTAAAAATAAAAATTCAAGCAATGTTTTTAGAAAAGGATTCTATTATTTGAAAGCTGAAGATTGAAGAACCTTTAATGACAAACAGTGAGGTTGACATGTGAGGGTTATACTAGATAAAGGCGGGAATCTAATTTCTACAAGCGCCTGAAAGATAGTGGCAGTATCTAAATTCAAGAAATTTGTCGACCATCAAAAAACAAAAAAAAAAAACCCAAGAAACTATGCTGATATGCAACTAACGATCTGCAGTACAACACTAATTCTTTTTTCATCTCCATTCCTTTATAATCATTTACATGAAAGGGTAGAAAAGTGTTCTACAAGACAATCTAGTGACTTAATTTGATTTGAGATGAAATAATTATTAAGCATTCTGCTCAACGATACTTTTCTGAAATCAACTTAATAGACCTTATTAGCCCTGATTATCACCTTTATATTTACACACGATTGGACCAGATCAACCCAAATTAGGCCTAATTAGATCTTGGTTAATTAGAAGAAATAAATGATATTACTTGAACTTAGTTTATAAAATACATCAAATGATGTGGGAGAGTGCAAAGTGGTGCCGCAAGGGTTGTGTTTAAATCAAGTTCATTGGTACTCAACTACTCATATACCTATCATATTGTTTTGTTTATGACTCTACATGAAGTAACTGAAGAACTGTTAAGATTTTTATATCATCCTTGCAAACAATGTACAAAAATTAAAGCATGCACCAAAGAAATTACTTACAGCAACACCAACTTTAATCTTTCAGGCTGTTATGACCCATTTTGGGACAACTTCATCTTAAGGTCCTTCAAAGCATCTACAACTTCTGTGTCCAGGTTGTGTTTTAGCAATTTCCCTTGCATGGAAGTCGATCTGAAAATTAACTTTGGAATGAGATTGTACATCTATGATAGGGAAAAACAAGTATGCAAGCATGACAAACGATCAAGTCTACTAGAATTTCAAGCTGCTTTTAAGGTATTTTTGCACAGCTGTAACATCACATTTTACATAAATGACACACCTCTGCTCTTGAAGCATTGTCTCCATCTCCTTCTTTGAAGCCTTTATCTGCAAACCATAGCAGATTCTAAAGTGAGACAATAATGAAACCATGTCATCTATATACATACGTAAATAATAAAATTTAAAATAAAAAAGATTGGAAAATAGATGATATCTAGCCCATTTTGATTGATGGAAAACAAAATTAATTCTCAACTATCAGAAACCAGATTTTTTGGTTAAACAGTGTTGGAAGATCAAAGAAAAGCCCATTACAAAGAGAAAAAAGCAAGAAAGATTGGTGACTGAGTTTTTGTTGTTTCTGGGGTCCAATCTGTTTGATGATTGGTAAAGATACTTTAAAAAGCTATTTAGGAAGACATATATAATGTTAAGTTCATATCTTCCAATGATGGCATGCTCCCTCAGAATTCAACATTCTCACAATATGGAATTACAAAGACTTATTCATAATTAGCACCTTGAATTTACATGTAACAAGGTTTTAAGACAAGGCAATACCCTTGAAAAATTAATCAGATATTGCATGGTTTAGTGGTTATGAATTTAATATACAAACTTGAGACTTTAGGTAAAGTCTTGCACAAAACATGTATGTTCTATATTTTCAATTGTATGTGAATTACAAAGGAAGATATCCACGTGTCGTCTAAACTTATTTAGGAATACTTTTTATTACATTAGTACAGATATTTTGCTACAAATCTTGCTTGTATCAATCAATCCTAACATCACCACACGTCCACACCCCATTTTATAAATGTGTAAACCTAATTTGCTCATGTAGCCCTTATGCCTTCTATATGTATCGTTTTTCCTCATCAAATAACTCTACTCTTTCCTAGCATCTCCAATGGGTTCCTCAAAGTTGATGAGTTCATGATTAGCACATAGGCAAAATAAATCGACTTTGTCAACTTCATTTCTATCAGATCACCATAGATGTGTGGGTGTATTTAAAGATGAGGCTGATACTTTTATTTTTTTGAACAAAGGCTGATACTTCATAATATTATTTAATACTAATTCTAAGACAGTGGACACATTTATCACCTAGTAAATGAGTGTTGGTTGCGTTTTTGTGGAACTTGTATCTACAAGTTTAATATATTATGATATTTAAGTCCAACCAACTCTTAACAAGCAAGATGGGTGTGTTCAAAGATGAGGCTAATCCTTCATAACATGAGTTGGTACTACTTTTGAAGCCAAAGTGGGTACATTTGGTACGGTATTTATGGAGCTCTTACCAATAGCTTAAATATCATTTTTTTTTTTAAGCCCAACCACTTATTTACCAAGATGCATCTAATTAGGAACTTATCTCATAACCTTAGATGAAACTTTTTTGGGAGGACGAATCTCATAGATGAAACTTTTTTGGGATCCCTTTACCAGTTTACCTTCCCTCCACTTCCAAGTTTATAGCTAACAAAAGCTAGACTAAGTAACCATAACAATTGATATTTATTTTGAATTTACTTTAACCCAGCGATTAAAATTAAGAAGTCCAACCACTTCTTTTTCTTTTAATTAATAATCCCATTCCCATTTCCAAAAACCACCTCTATTAAAGATTACATATTTACATCTCTACTCAAACTTGTTTTTTTTTTTTAAGAGAATATATTTTAACGACTGCAAGCTTAAAATTGCATGCTTCATATTGTGTAGTATGCCTTTCATTCAATTAATACGCACTATTAGCCTCATTGAATTTTTATTTCTTCCTCAACTCACAGATGTTTAACCTTCAGCTTTTCACCAATTCATGAGGTGCAATATTTCATCAAGCTCTTTCCATGGATAGTTATAAGAACATAAATTGTCCACGAAATAGATTTTTTTTTTTTTTTTTAATTTGCTAATGCTAATTAAGCTATACAAAAAACTATTACCATGTTTTCACAATCCTCTTTTATAAATACAATATTTATGTTTATAAGGATGTGTTAAAAAGGTAACACCTTTGAATTTTGTAAGCTATATATAAAATCATTGCCTTGTAATTAAAAGGTTTGTTTAACAATTATGATAAGGGAGGAAGCTCGAAGCTTCTCCAATGGCGGACTCTTGTTATAGAGAGAGAAAGAAGAGAGAGAAATAGAGAAGAGATTAGGAAGAAGACAGAAATGAATAGTTGTATTGAATGTTGACTTTCACAGGTTTATTACAGCATTTATACAGTTGTAAGTGGAATTCCACGTCACCGCTCCACTAGCTCTATTCTTCAAGCTGGCTAACTAACTTGCCCACTAACATAATTTGTAACAAACTCTCCCACTAATAACACAATCTGTAACTAATTTTACAACCCAAATCGTTACAGCTCTATCATAGCTCTCCCCCTTTAAAAGACTTGTCCTCAAGTCTAAAACACAGGAAAATCTGGATAACGCTGTTCAAACGACTCAGCAGGCTCCCAAGTTGCTTCATAAGTAGGAAAACCCTCCCAATGAACAAGGTACTGCACTTGTGCTTTATTCTGAAACTTAACCACCTTGCCCAAAACAGCAGTTGGTCGAATTTCATTAGATCCTACAATATGCACTTGAAACATAGTAGGAATGTGAGCCACCAAAGGCAGTTGCCCACGAAACTGTTTGAGCTGAGAAACATGAAATGTGTCATGAATCTTTCAACTTGTATGCCACCTTCCCAATCAACGCCAAAACTTGAAAGGGGCCAAAATACTTATGAGAAAGCTTTTAATTACCCCTTTGCACAGTTTGCTATCTGTATGCTTGTAACTTCAACCGGACCCAATCTCCAACTTGAAAACTTCTCTCAGACCTATGTCTGCCAACTTAAGCTCAGATATCATCATTTCTCTTCTCTGTAAGCTTCTGTCCACTTCATCATTTCTAACTTCTCCTGCCAGATATGGTAAATGGAGTGGTGGGGGTTGATTATATACAACCTTATAAGGAGTAAGCTATAATGCAGAGTGGTAGTGGGTGTTATACCACCATTCTGCTAAGGGCACCACTTTTGCCATTCTTGAGGTTGCTCTCCTGTCATGCACCTCAAATAAGCTTCAAGACACCTATTCACTACTTCTGTCTGTGTCCTGGGGTGATAAGCAGTTGACAGTAGGAACTCAGTCCCATGTAAGGAAAACAATCCTTTCTAGAACTGACTCAGGAAGATGGGGTCTCTATCACTCACAATTGACCTAGGCCATCCATGCAACTTAAACACATTACCCAAGTAACTTTGAGCCACTTGTATTGATGTAAAAGGGTGAGCAAGAGCCATGAAATGAGTATACTTGCTAAACCTATCAACCACCACAAAAATCACTTCTTTTCCAGCTGACTTTGGAAGTCCAGTAATGAAATCCATAGAAATGTCCATCCAAACCTCCTCGGGAATGGGTAAAGGTTGTAAATGACCTGGATAAGCTGCAGTATCATACTTGGCAGCTTGGCATGCAGTGCAGTTTGTCACTCACAAACTGACTGACATCTCTAGTAAGTCCCTTCCAATAAAACATCTTTTTAACCCTCTTAAGAGTTAATTCTCTGCCCCCATGCCCACTCTCAGGAGATTCATGATGCCAAGAGAATATCTTATTCATAGCTGTAATTCAGGTCCCACCACAATCTTCCCTTTTCTTCTGAGCAAATTGTTTTCCCATTAAAACCAGCCACTAGAACTTGGTTCTGCAGTTGCTGAATGAAAGCTTTATAATTGTCATCCAACTGGTAACTGTCAGAAATCAAAGTAGCTAAGTTTGAATCTACCACAGAAATTGCCATGAACAAAATTTCAGCTCCTTGCACCCAAGACAAAGCATCTGCAGCAACATTCTCTTTCCCACATCTACACGGGATCTCATAGTCAAACCCCATTAACTTGGACAACCAGAATTGCTGAAATGGTGTTGAAATCTTTTGCTGCAGTAGCCACCTCAAACTTTTCTCGTCAGTTTTGATTATGAAGTGAGCTCCCACCAAATACTGCTCCCATTTCTGAACTGCAAAAACAATTGCTAACAGTTCCTTGTCATAAACTGACAATTTCTGTCATTTTGGACCAAGAGCTCTGCTAATGAAAGCCAAAGGGTGACCTTCTTCCATTAATACTGCCCCAATCCCAATCTTTGCAGCATCAGTCTCCAACACAAATTGCTTATCAAAATTTGGGATTGCTAAAACTGAAGCAGTCACCAAAGCAGTCTTTAAAGACTCAAAAGCAAACTAAGCTTGCTCATTCCAACTAAAACCATCTTTTTCAACTGAGCAGTCAGAGGTTTGCTCAAAAGGGCATAACATTTAACAAACTTCCTATAATAGCCTTTGAGCTCCTTGACATTAGAAGGCACTGGCCAACTACTGATAGGAGCAACCTTCTTAGGATCAGTTTCACCCCATTTTGAGTGATAAAATGTCCCAAGTACTCTACTCTTGATGTGGCAAAAATGCATTTACTTTCCTTGGCAAACATGCTGTTCTTCTTCATCAAATCAAAAACTTCAACTAGATGTTGCCAATGGTCCTGTAAAGACTTGCTGTAGACAAGAATATCATCAAAGAAAACCAATACACACTTCCTAAGAAGTGGTCTGAATACATGATTCATCCAACCCTGAAAAGAAGCAGGAGCATTAGTCAAACCAAAAGGCATAACTAAAAATTCATAATTTCCTGTGTGAGTTTTGAAGGCTGTTTTGAAAAAAGAATATCTGGTGATAGCCTGCCCTCAAATCCAACTCACTAAACACAGAAGCTCCAGCCAGCTCATCAATAAGCTCATCTATTACTGGAATAGGAAACTTATTCTTCACAGTTCTGTTGTTTAACTTTCTATAGTCAACACAAAGCCTCCAAGTCCCATCTTTCTTCCCCACTAGAACCACAGGTGAAGCAAAAGGGCTTGAACTATTCTGAATAATTCCCCTTGCACAAGCTGTTCAATTATTTCTCTTTGCTTCAGAGGGTATCTGTAAGGTCTAATGTTGACCGATGTACTCCCTGGCATTAAGGGAATAGAATTGTCAAAAACTCCCCTCTCAGGAGGTAAGTCTTTAGGTTCCTCAAAGACCACTTGATACTGCTGTTTCAAAGCGAAGTATTCTGCTCCATCTGCATTGTCATACTTCCCTGATCCATAACCTGTATAAGACAGAGTTATACAGCAGAATCCAACACACCTTCCCTGTAGGGCTTCCTTCTATTACAACCAGCTTCCTAGATGGCATCCCTTTAAGAACAAAATGCTCATTATGCAAATCAAACTCCATCCTTAATTTCTGGAAATCCCAGTGAACAGGTCCCAGAAGCCTAAACCATTGAATACCCAATACCATATCACAGCTCCCTAAGGGAATTAACAAAACATTTGCATCAAATTCATGACCCTGCATTTCCCAAGTAAACCCTTTACACATTTGCTAACATGGAATGTGGTTCCCATCAGCTACTGAATTCGCTTGGAATGGAATCTGACTCAACTTGCAGCCTAACTTGGTGGCAACATTTACATCCACAAAGTTATGAGTACTACCAGAGTCTATTAAGATGTGCAAATCTTTGCCTTGTACTCTAACCTTCACCCTCATGGTCTGAAAAGACTGATTTCCAGCCAAAGCATGAACTGAAATCTGTGGTTCAAAATCGGCTTCATTAACAGGCTGTAAGTCTTCACATCTGAATCCCAAGTTCCAAGAATTTCAACTGTAAATAGTTGAGGTTTCCTAAACTGGCACTTATGTTCTCTAGTAAAAAGTTGATCACAATAGTAACACAACCCTTTAGCTATTTTTTCCTGTCTCACATCTGCTGGAATGTGTTTATAGTTTCTTGTGTTTTGTGAGGTGTGGGTTGTAGAAGAAGAAAATGGTTTGGACTGTGGAGTGGGTAGTAAGGGTGGTAATGTATTTGGAGTTAAAGGTTTAGGGTTAAAAGAGTATTTGTTTTGTTTAAAATGCAGTGAAGCAGAAGTGAGTGATTCTTCTTGCAATCTAGGCTTAAAGGCTTTAACAAAGGGTTTAACAGCAGGTCTTAAGCCACTAATGAAACTCTCCAAAACATATGAATCAGGCAAAACATGGCTATTCATCAACATAACAGACCTCAGATTCTCATTCATCTATGTAATCCTCAATTGAACTAAGTTGCTGCAATCTATTAAACTGCTCAACTACATCAATTCCAGAACTATCCTTAAATCTAGCATACAAGTCAGCAACAAAATCATTCCAATCCACAACTACAGCTCTCCTAGACAAATAGTTCATCACCCAACTCTCAGCTTTGTCAGTCATGTTTAAGGAAGCTAAATCAACTTTTTGATCATCAGCAATTTTGCATAAATTGAAGTATTTGCAGCATTTCTTGACCCAAATTCTAGGATTACTACCATTGAATTTAGGAAATTCCAATTTAGGGTTCATACCTAAGGTCCTAGTAGGATTGGACCTGTTCAAGCTGTTGAACGAAGAAGAAGGAGAAGAAGGTTCCGAAGGCGAAGACGAAGCAATCGTAACCTTCTCAGCTTGAATCGTCTGCATTAATTTCAGCATTTCTTCGAATTTTTGATCGATTTTGGAATTCTGATCATCAATTCTCTTTTCCAGATTCTTGAGCTGAGCTTCCATTCAGTGACTCTCCTTGTTACAGGTGGAGACGCCAGAATCTCTTACTGAAGGAAAACAGCAAGGAAGGCTCTGATACCAATGATAAGGGAGGAAGCTCGAAGCTTCTCCAATGGAAAACTCTAGTTATAGAGAGAGAAAGAAGAGAGAGAAATAGAGAAGAGATTAGAAAGAAGACAGAAATAAATTGTTGTATTGAATGTCGACTTTCACAGGTTTATTACAGCATTTATACAATTGTAAGTGGAATTCCACGTCACCGATCCACTAGCTCTATTCTTCAATTACAGCTGGCTAACTAACTTGCCCACCAACAGAATTTGTAACAAACTCTCCCACTAATAACAAACTCTCCACTAGTAACAGAATCTGTAACTAATTTTACAACCCAAATCGTTACAGCTCTATCAAATTATAATAATCATATTGTCCCTCTTCTACTTCTTAGCACTCCCATAAAAGGGTGAATTGTAATTTCACTTCTACCCATTAAATGTCTAAAGAGAAATGTCTTAAAAAAACAGAGAAAGCATCACCTTTGAAAATACAACAGAATTGTTAAAGCATGTTTAATATTTTAGGTTTAGGATATTAAAAAAGGAAATTGTGCTCAGTTGTACACTAGATAAGAAAAGTTTGCATTGTTTAAAGTTACGTTCTTAGTTTTACATCAAGATACAAATTTTATTAACTTTAACTCTAACACCAACCCCATCCCACGACCATATTTCCCAAAACATTTTACAAAACCACCTACAAAATTTGAGAGAAATGTTCCAACACCTTCCCAAGCAACCAATGAACACAATCCAAAGCAACACGGTAGCCTTGATCCAACCAAGGAGGTCAGTGGCTGCATTATTTTGAAATTTTGTTGCCATCAAGTTGTGGAGGAGGAAGAATGTAATTTAATGTGCCAAATGCAAAAAAAGTTAGGGGAGGGCACAGGAGTCATGCAGTGGGGGGTGAAGATGGCGATGATGAATTGGATGTGGGGATTAATGGATTGAGGTTACATGAATGGGGGGTGAGGAGGTAGCAACATAGATGTCGTAGCATTTAACATTTCACAAGATGTAGATAAATAACATGGAGAAAACAAGAGAAAATAATGTTATAAATATCAGTTTGTCAGCAAACCTCAGTAACCAGTGCCTTGCTGCTCCAAACAAAAGCTCCCTGAAAATATGTGAAATCAACATTAATTATTATAGATGAAAGATAATATAATTCTTTCTCAAATACATGCATGCATAAACAAATGTGTGTTATTCCTTAAATTGACCAACTTTTGAAAAAGAACACAAGGTTTTCCTGCTAAGGGTACAATAGTTCACATCTGATCTTCCCTGGACTTGCTACTCCGCTCGTTAGCTTCTGCCTAAACTTCAAACTTCTTAAGATTAACTGAACCAGCCATAGTCCTTGAATGAAATTGTTGTATTGAGAAATCTCATGAGGAAAAATGGTTGAAAGTATATCCTTCAAACAATGTGTATTACTTCAAATGATATTTTATAGGATCGGAAATAGATAACAATTGAAAATTGTAATTAAGCTATTGGTATGTTTAGCCAGAAATAACTATCAATTAGCATGCTTAATGTAATTGGGCCTGCAGCTTAACATAAACTGATCTTATGCACAGAAGCAAAGAACAAACCAACAATAAGCAAAATGGACGAAGCTTGTAGCAAGGCCGCATTATCACATCACCATAAGCCAGCCTAAAGGTCACGGGCTGCATTAGCTCCTCACTGTTCGATTGTATGCAAAGACGGATCCAGGGGAGGGCCTACCCTGGCCACGGCCCGCCCCATGCCCAGAAATTTCAGTCATCAGCTATTACACAAAGTATTCTTAGCTGAGTTGGTCTCTAGCCCTTTAGTGTCTACTTTGGTACACTACACTAGGTAGTGGGTTCTATTCCTACGACAAGTGTATTCTGTTTTTCTATATCCTTTCTTATATCTATATAAGTTTTTAAGATCAAATGGGCATGGGAAGGCATGCTACAAAGGTATATTAATGTTCTTATTAGGTTCATCATTAAATGATTAATAAGTGTACTACTTTTCATCAAAATCTAACAAAAAGGTTTAATCCTAACTCAAAGAACCTTGCTAGAGTTTTCCTTGCATGAATCACCTAACGCATCTCATGATTCTCACCAATTGAGAGGATTAGAACATTCTTTAAGAATTTGACAAAAGGACAATGACAATGGATATTGATCTCTCACTATAATGAAATTTCTTATCCATGTCTTCCCAACTCCAACCTCCCATAAAAGAGTGATAAATCAACAACGTAAGATATGTGCAAACCATTCAGCATTAAATGTAACCTTTACCCAAAGGAAGGATAAAGATGATAGATAAATCAAAGGAAAAATTAGTTTTAATAACCCCAACTTTGGGCTAATTTATTTTAGTAATCTCAACTTTCGATTATCCTGGAACTTTAGGATGTGTTTTTTTCTATTAGGCCCAACAGGTTAATAAGTGGTCAACAACCTGTTATACCAGGTTACCTAGACACGTATCAACACATGATTAGTCCTAAAAAAAAATTTAAAATTAAAATATTTAAAAATAAATGTAAAAATTAAAAATTGAAACCAACCCCACCGCCGACACCAACCCCCTCCCCAGCCCAACAGCAAGCACCCACCCCTTCACAGCCCCACACCCGAAACCACCCTCTCCCCCCCCCCCACCGGGAAACCGAATCCTCTACCTTAGCCCCACCTGAAACCCCCTTGAAAAGCTAGGTTCGGGTGTGGTAATTTTGGAAAACGACCCTAGGTTTGGGTGTAGTGGCTTTAGGGAAAGGGGGGTGGTGTTGCGATGATTTCAGCGGGAGGAAGGGGTAAGTTGGTGATTTTGGGAGCAAGGGGTGGGGTTGTGCTGGTTTCGGGGGAAGGGAGGGTTGAAATGGTGGTTTCAGGGGTGGGGCTGCTAGTGGTTTGTGGTAAGTTGGTTATTTTTGGGGCAGGGGCTGGGGTTGTGGTGGTTTCAGCGGAAGGGGGTGGTTTTCGGTGGGGATGGGGAGAGAGGGAGGTGGTTTCCTGTGGGGCTGGGAGGAAGGGGGTGGGGTTACGGTGGTTAGTGCTTGGTTTTTTTATATTGTTTTTTTTGGACCAATTAGCATTCGACACGTGGCAAAGTTATTTTTGAAAATTAAATTTAACCCTTTCATCACGGCATATTGAAAGAAAACGCATCTTAAAGTTGGGACTATTCTAAAATAATCAAAAGTTGGGATTATTAAAAGAATAGAGCTCGGGGTTATTGAAACTAATTTTTCCTAAATCAAACTGCACCAATTATCCATTTCAGCGTAGTTATTACTAGTCATGCTACAAACTACAAGATTGAACAACACCAAGTTTAGAGGTAAGAAATAAATAGATAAATAAATTATGGAAATTAACCACAAGGATAGGAAAATAAAAGGTCAAATGGTAAAGATTATGGGATTATATGTCCCCTATTCTACCTTAGTTCGAAATATTATGAAATTAATTAAAGGGATGGGACAAATATAAGGTAAAATGGGTAAAGATTATGGAATGCCCTTGAACACTATTATCTTCACATCGATAGTGGACATGTGAATTCATGTGAGCTGTTACGGGTATATGGGTAAATGGGTAGTAGGTTCTTCTTCCTTGCGATTCTACTTTGCTTCTTTTTTAAGAATTTGGACAAGTTTAGTCTTTACACATATGCTTATATATCTAAAAGCTCTCGGGGTTACATAGTCCACGATAGCAAGGATCAATTTAGAGCTCTAATCTCTTATGCGAGTTATTTTAACAGTTATCCATGTATTTCAAAGTTTCTCTATAACTTCTTTCAGATTCCACTCAAAGTTTCTCTTAGAGGTAAGGAAGACAAAAGATTATTAAAATGGAACAACAAATAAAGACAATATTGGAAAGAAAATAAAGTAAAAGTTCGAAAAATAACCCAACATATTTTTCATGGAAAACCCTTCCTCGACAAAATGAGAAAAAACACGCTCCCTTCAAATCACTAAGGTGAAAAGTTCACTAATAATATTTTCAAATACAAATGGAGAACACCACAACTAACATTAGGTATGATGTGTTTTAAGACGACTCAATTCATACCCTTAATAATGATACCCTAAACAACCAATATTATCTCACACCAATTGCACACTCACAATAACATACACTTCTTTAGGTTTCTTTTTTTTTTTTTTTCTTTTTCTCCAATCTTATAACATGAACTTTTTTATATAGATAAGAAAGTTACACAACTAAGATAGATGGCTAAACTGAATTACATTTCCAAACTTTCTTGCTTCCACATATTATACTCCTATAATTTCTCAATACTCTTTCATTCATTTTCCTTTATTATTCAATACAAAGTACTACATTTGGTATTTGAGGAGATTAACCCACTAAATAACTCTCTCAACCCAAATCACTACATAATTTCGCTTCATTCGATCCACACTTTATGCTCTTCAACGGCATACCCATCCACATAACATATATTATTGTCTGTTTTCCTCCTTTGTAAACTAATATATTAACATGATACACTTTACACCGTCTTCCAGATTGGTACTTATGTTCGTAGGACATCAAGGTGGAAGGGGTAGGGGTACTTCGATGAATTGTTTAATGGAAGTAATGAAGTTAGTGACATGAGATACCTCCGTGAGTGATGAAGAAGTCAACATGGAGTATGTGCGGCGAATTAGGAGAGTAGAGGTGGAGATTGCACTCAAGAAGATGAAGCCTAAGAAGACGGTTAGCCCCGATGGTGTACCGATAGAGGTGTGGAGGTGTTTGGGTAAGATTGGTATTGATTGGTTAACAGATCTTTTCAACAAGATATGGAGGGCTACAAGGATCCCGCAAGATTGGAGGAAGAGTGCCTTCGTCCGGTCTATAAAAACATAGGAGATGCACAAGATTGTTCTAACTATCGAGGGATCAAGTTTATGAGCCACACTATGAAGTTGTGGGAAAGAGTGATTGAAATAGGTTTCGGATAACCAATTTTATGCCTAGGAGATCTACTATGGAAGCAATTCATTTGATAAGACAAATGATGGAGTTTTATAGGGTAAAGAAGAAGGATCTTCATATGGTCTTTATTGATTTAGAGAAGGCATATGATAAGGTGCCAAGAGAGGTACTTTGGTGGGCAATATTAAAGAAAGGTATCCCACGAAGGTATGTGGATTTGGTTAAGGATATGTATCGGGATGTGTCAACAAATGAGAGGACATGCGGAAAGTTGACAAAAGATTTCCCTATTACAATTGGATTGCATCAAAGGTCGACATTAAGCCCTTTTCTTTTTGCAACGGTTCTAGATGAAGTAAATAGACTAATCCAAGATGAGGTTCCATGGTACATGTTCGCGGATGATATCGTTTTTGGTGGATGAGACTAGAGATGGGGTTAATGCCAAGTTAGAGCAATGGAGGCAAAGGTTGTAATTTAGAGGGTTTAAGCTAAGTCGGAGTAAGACTGGATATTTGGTACGTCGCTTTGGTACTCATAGGGGGACAAGTAATGAAGTGGTGGGTTTGGATGGAAAGGATTTGACCATGAGTGAATGTTTGAAGTATCTTGGGTCGATCATCTAGAAGAATGGTGACATTGATCAAGACGTGGCCCATAGGATTAAGTCGGGGTGGCTTAAATGGAGAGCGGCCACGAGAGTGTTGTGTGACCGAAACATTCCCTTAGAGTTGAAGGGAAAATTCTACAGTCATAAGGTCAGTGTTATGGTACAGAATGTTGGGCTTCTAAGAAAGAGCACATTAAAGAGATGGAGGTTACTGAAATACGTATGTTAAGGTGCATGTGTGGGAACACTCTAAGAGATAAAATCAGAAATGAGGTTATTCGCAAGAAAGTAGGTGTGGCAGGCATTACAGATAAATTAAGGGAAAATCACCTGCGTTGGTTTGGACATGTAAGACGGAGACCCGAGGGTGCACCGATTCTAAGGGTGGAAGACTGGGACCATGGAGGGTTTGAACGAGGGAGAGGGAGACCGAAAATGATTTGGTTGGAAGGAGTTAGGAAAGATATGAAGTATATGAATTTGCATGAGGATGAAGCATTGGATCGTAAGGGATGGAGGAGGAACATTTATGTCAATGACTACACGGAATAATCAAATTTGGTTCATGTAGCCCCCCACATATGGAATTAAGGCTTTGATTGATTGATTGATTTGTCAACTTTCCCGATGTTAACAAATTAGCACGTGCATTGGGTACATATAGGGATGTCAATGGGGTGGGGTAGGTCGGGGCGGATGTTGGTTTTCCCATCCCCATCCCCACCTAACATTTTCATCCCCATCCCCGCGGCGGGTCCAAAATTCATCTTCATCCTCTCCCCGGTGGGTACAATTCCAAAACCATCCCCGCCCCACCCACTTCGATATCCACCCCCACCTAATCCCCACCAAAGACCCGCCTAATCCCCACCCAAGACCCGCTTAATCTCCGCCTCTCAAATACACAATCTTACATAATTAATATGGATTACAATATAATAAAAGAATCATTCTTAATATTACACACTTTTTTGTTTATAATATTAGTGTATTACAAAGTATTATAATTAATATTTATATTTCATGTAATTATTTTATAAAATAGAATAAAAGTATATAGTTTTGTTTTTAACGATATCTAGATGTGGGTATGAGGTGGGGATAGGGCGGGTACAAAGTGGGGCGAGGCGGAGATGGGGCGGGTACAACCTAAAATCCACCCCTGCCTCATCACCCATGGCGGGTATGGTTTTTATCCCCATCCCCGCCCCACCACCCGCCAAACCGAGAACCATCCCCAGTGACATCCCCAGGTACATATCTCACATTGTGGAAGGTTTGAACAACACCATTATAGAACCTCATTTGCATATTTCCCATGTCTTCAACAGGTCATTACCCGTGTTTATGTACCCAAAATCACCTTATTATTGAAAGGGATCAAAAATTGTTTTGTCACGACACACATGAATTGAGGCAACCAAATCTAACATCCACTTACATGGAATCATATTCTTGTTATCAATTTAAGTCATATAAAAATCATCACCATTAACTACATTGGAGAAATCACCTTCGTTGTTCACTTTCACCTTGCTAAATTTCCTTCTCTTTTAAATTCTTTAAGTTTTCTTAGTTTTGGGCCATTACATTGCATGTGGCCCTTCTTACAACAATAATTGACACTCTAAAGAGCTATAATCTCTTGGCAAAGATTTTAATCTATATTTTGGGTCATAGTTTCTCCATTTTCTCTCGCTCTTTCAAAACCCTCCACAACATCTATTTATGTTATCATGTAGCACATTTTTCCCTCACAACTATGGTTGCTTCATTGAATGTAATTTTCTCCTATTCTCCTTTCCCAGAGCATAATAGACATCTAGAATTTCGGTGATGAAGCCAATAACAATAGGGCATGCTCGCACAACTCCCATCTAGAATTTTCTCATTGGCATCTTGCAATAACACACTGCTGGGAGTTGTGGTTTTGTAAACTTATACAATATTCCATTTTCAGCTTGCACAACTCCCACCGACGAATGGTTAGACACTTGGAAGTATATATTCCTTGCTACTTCTCTAACATGGCCACCTCTTTAACAAGACCTTCAAATCCATCTAACCTAAGATATCATACTACATCTTTTACGTTGCCCACTCCAACTTGTCGGCTTTCCTTCTCCACACATACATCCAAATTATTTTATGCTAATTGTCTTCAACAATAATCTTCCACAACATGAAATTTTAGTGAACCTTTTTCATATTATCTTTACGAGTTCCATTACTAGTTACTTTATACCTTCGTCGGAATCTCATCCTCTTAACACCCAATCCAATGTATGGAAATAAATTTAACAACAAAATACGAAAAGTAACATTAAATATTTACGGGAAAACCCCTTTGCAACGATAAGATACAAACCACCGTTCGAACCTCCAAGGACAAAAACCTTAATAATATTGATGTACAAACATAAAACACCAAAACTTGTCAGGTACAATGTGTTTAGGGCGACTACAATTGGTACCCTTAATAATGATACTAGTAATCTTAATCAACCCCTCACCACCTAATAATATGTTTGTTCTACACCAATTACTCCATAATAAAATATAGTTTCTTACGTTTCTTTTGTTTTTCATCTTCCCCTCTCATCATTTTTATAAAAACTTTTCAATATAAATAAGAAAGCTTCACTACTAAAATAGATAGGCTAAAATGAATAGCATTCTAAAACGGTCTTGCTTCCACTTATTACACTCCTATAATTTTGCTTTATTTTTCATTTGTTTTCCTTTCTTACTTACTACTTCCTCCAATCCCCTTGTATTGTAGATGGACTTTACACTATTCACCCACTCTCTTAGACCATCAATTGTGAATTATATTTTAAGAAAACATAGTTTGCGTGACCAGTTAGATTCATCTCAATTTATACTCTAATACATCAACTTTTTAAAATTTTTACTTATTGAAAATTCTAGATGATAATAGTTAAAGTTGTGTGATGGGAAGCATAAAACTCAACATGTTGCAACGTTTAGGGAGCAGGGGAAATACTATATTTGGCATTTGGGGAGATCAACCCGACAAAGACTTTGGTGCTCTTTTTGTAGAATATGTAGCCTCTGCTTGGTCATTGGTTGGCGTATAAGGCCTTGAACTATGTATCTTGATGCCTTAAATATGGCATGTTAAAATCAATATGAAGTGGCAAAACACAAAAATCTTCCTAATAGGATATTTTAGTAAATAACACCACAAAAAAGACCCAAAATTTGATTATAACACCACAAAAAATTGGTTTCACCACCACTTAAATTTGCCATCCAAAACAACCGTTAAGTGGGTCCCACACGGTACACGTGTCAATCATCTATTGGATTAAAAAAATAATAATAAAAAAAACCTTAAAATGCTAACCCAGCCACCACCGCCGGTGGGTTCCCACCGCCGTCACCCATACCCAACCCCCAAACTTCCGAAACCGTCGCCGAACCACCTTAACCTCAACCTAAACCAGCCGAAACCCCAGAACCACCGTAACCCCAACCTAAACCAACCGAAACAGCAACATCACCCCCACCACCGTCGCCGAACTCCTCTACCCAAAACCGTCGCCGAACCGCCGATTTCCCATCCAACACCCATACCCAAACCCACAAACCGCCCTATTCCCCTCACCCTCACCCTCACCCTCACCCTCACCCTCACCCTCACCCTCACCCTCACCCTCACCCTCACCCTCACCCTCACCCTCACCCTCACCCTCACCCTCACCCTCACCCTCACCCTCACCCTCACCCTCACCCTCACCCTCACCCTCACCCAAATCGGGGCTGAGGTTGGGGTACGGTTGGCTGGTTTCAACGGTTGAGGGTGGTCCGCTGGCTGGTTTCGTCGGTCGAGGGAGGTCGATTGAGATTGGGTGACGGCGGTGGGGGTTGGGTTGGGGTGACGACGATGGGAATTGGCGCCTGTGGTGGGTGGGTTAAGATTTTAGGGTTTTTTCTTTTTTTTTTCCATTTTATTATCCAATAAATAATTGACACGTGTACAATATGGGGCTCACTAACGGATTTTTGGATGGCAAAGTTAAGTGGTGGTAAAATCAATTTTTGGGTTTTTCGGGTGGTGTTATAATAAAAGTTTTAAAATTTGTGGTGTTATAATCGAATTTGTGTGATTTTTGTGGTGTTATTTTCTAAAATATCCTAGGAAATAATTAGTGTTTTATTTGTCCATTTGGTAGATATTGATAAAAACTAAGTGCAAGGAATTTCAAGGTGCTTTAATTAGAATATCCCAAGTGTCTAGAAATTTTCCATTCAGGTATCATCTACTTTCTTTCTACATATATAGTTCAAGCCTTCACGTTCTACAAGGGATAGGGATGGGATAGGGATGACCGGAGAATCTTTGAGAATAAGAGAAACCTTTTCCAATGAACTTCCCTCATCATTCCTCACATTTTCCCACTCATTGCTTATAAATTAGACTTAGAAGATTACATACCGCTCCATGAGCTGCATGTTGTTGGGCATGATCAGATGTCACTACCCAAACCTTTGGACAACCATCTTCCTTTAACGCCACAACCTGGTTTCAAATAGGAAAGACACAAAATGGAAAATTATGCTAAGCACAAGTAACAATTCCAAGCAGCATAACCGAACTAAATCAAATAGACATTAAAGTTAGAGCAAAAAGATAAACAAGTGCTAGTTTGATAACAAGTGCTAATTCTTACTCGGTATATTCAAAAAGATAATTAAGATGTACTTCCCCAGTCTAGATTAGTAGGCAAATATTCCTTTGTGGGAAGTTTCTTCTTAACTAACACGTTTTAATTTTGGTAAGGTATACATGAAAATATGTCAATTCTACCCTCACTAATTTTTCTTACCCCTCTTCTATCTCCTTTCACTATATCATATCAATCCTTTAATTTTCTCACTCCACCATCATCCTCAACATCAGCTTCATCTTCTTCACAATAGTTTTACCTCTTCAATCGCTTAAACCCTTTACCTCTTCAATCGCTTAAACCCTTAAATAATGAATTGATGAATCCTTTGATTCAATCTAACACTTACCTAGAATATAAATCTCACCTCATCTCTCTCTCTCTCTCTCTCTCTCTCTCTCTCTCTTTCTCTCTCCCCCCGTGCTTCCACCTTTCATGGTTTGGCCCTTTCTTTCCCTCTCTCCACCAAAAACAAGCATCCTTTTCTAATGGATAGAATCTCGAAAGATGCAAAGTGCAAAATTGCATGTGAGAGTTCATATCTTTTTCACCAGCAAAGTTTCTGACAAGTGAATCTAGGCCATGTTCCAGAACCAAATTTGGAACCCTAACGGAATTGCCGCCCTTTTCCTACCATATCTCCCTCCTTCGGCTTTTATGGAGATTTTTCAAAAGGGGAGTCAGGAAATCGCAACCTAATATGATGGTAAGGAGGGCAGTGTTGGGTCGTAACGAAGATGAGGAAGAGAATGGTTGAGTTGTTAGTTTGGAAAGGGAGAGGAGAGAAGGTTTTAAGGTGAAGAAGAAGGTTGGGGTGGCTAAGGAATAAATGACAATGGGTGTGGTTACAACTGGTTGTTCTGTTAACTTGTCAAACAGATTAGCCGTTATGAAGGTAAGTGCGTAAAGGTAAAGGCACGATAGAATAAACATACTTTGTCTTTTTCCTTTCACTCTCACATCACCTTAATGTGTGCCAAAAGAAACCTTTGAACTAATTTGGAACAGAGGAAGTATACTAGAAGAAGCTGATATTATGATGTATCACAAATGATAGATGATATTACTTGGGATTAGTGGTTTGTTGAAATGATAATTGATAGAGTGCTACATAGATAGGACTGTGTATATGAGTAACTTTAGAAATTTTCAAATCTGTTCAGATTAACTGGGTTCTGTCTTTTGTGATCAGGAAGTGATTATCTAATGTTTAGCCCACAAGATCCGATTCTAACTTGACTTCTCTTTTGAGCACAGGTTAGTTTGTTGTATACAGAAAAGTAGAGGAAAAAAAACCAGCAGAGAAAGAGGAAGAACAGGAATTCAACCAGGAGGATTAGGAACGTTCAGGTCAATTATAATCTTCGAAATTTTCTTAAATGCTATAGAAAATAGAGTATGCAAAACAATTCATGTACCTCCTTTTCTATCCATGAATCAGCACAAGAATCCCCAGAGAAAACTATGTCCACCCTGCAAAATAAAAATTAAACAATTGTAAAAATTGCAAAATGAACATAGAACACATGAACTAACAGATTACTCTTTTGTCTAATCAAGAACAAAAAAAGAATCAAATTAAAGAAGGATACAACGTAGAAGGAGAAGATGCCTTCAAAACTGAAAAGTGATGATGACAAAGAGAGAGATACAACAGGAGGACACAGTGTTTTAAATAACTTTTGAGAACCTAGCCATAAGGACACTAACAGTTATTTTATTCCATAATAAATCATGAGCATCCCATTCCAGAAAAATGCATTTGACCTATAACCTTCTCCTTCCCCCACCCCCCAAAAAAAAATATATATATTGCAACCATTCTTTTATAATCAGGGGACAAACCCAAAAAAAAATCTTCGTGACACTCCCTGGAGAACACATCCTCAACATAGAACCTAGGCTTTACGGGAAATGTCAAGTGCCTGGCAAGAAGAGGACACAGGCGATGGTTGCACCTTCAGTAGTGCCAATGGAATTCTTTTCCAGCAACCTAGTGTATATACATCATCATCTAGCTTCAATCTGATACATTGAGCTGTGATACATTAGTTGTTGCCAGTAAGCTTCTTCAGCATGAGGGTATTAGAGGAGAGATAAGATTCGCTGGCTTGGCAAAGGTGGGCGAGTTTCTCAACATCCATTTGGTAGATGAATTTGTAGATGAAGGGCTGCTAGTTCTATTAGGTCAAACAAAAGACTCTTTGGAATAACAGTTTTAGAATTAGTTATGGCATTCAGGACAATAGTTAAAAATTTTAGGTCAATAGTTATGGTGTCTGGTTATTAGTTTTGGTCTTTGTTACATAGATTAGGAATTATTGGGTCAAACTAAAGACTCTTTGTTACTAGTACACGACACGACTGAGGAACGAAATCTAGCTCTGACGTGGCGGTATGCACTCAGATAGCAATAGTTATATAAACCCTATCTATAAATTGGCTCATTTATTCATAAGCAACAGAAATAAAATGTTGGGGCTTTTGGTCGGACATGTGAGGTGACTTCCATGGCAATATACTCATCCTTGCCAATGGTCGGGAAGTGGACAGAGAGAGAACGTATAACTTTCCCTTTCCATCTCTCTTAAATAGTCAGTTACATTCTCCATTTTAATGAACATCAAGTTATTCTGTTCCAACTAGCATTAATGGAGATTTAACACACGCTTGTGGAATATTTGTTAGGGATCTAAATCTCCGCGTAGAAGGAAGAACAAAGCCAGGAAATCACGCATCAAAGGTTGTAATCTTTAACTATTATGTAATTTGTAGTTCCATACTATGTATATGCATGTGATCCTTGTTCATTGTTATGTATGTGATACATAAAATTTCGATTAGAGTACCTAAAATCTACATGTATTACAATTATGATTTTTGGTGATTAGTTAGTTATGGTTTTCGATTTATTAGTTATAACTTATAGGATTGGGTATAGTTTTGATTTTTGGTAATTAGTTATGATTTTTAGTAATAGCTATGGCTTTTAAGTTATTATATACGCTTTTGAGTTATTAGTTATGGTATTTCGGTTTAGTTATAAATTATAATTTTTTATATTTAGTAATTGTTTAAAAGTCATCAGTTATCGTTTTCGAGTTATTAGTTATGGTATTCGCCTATTCAGGTTAGTTGTGTTTTTGGTGACTAGTTTTGGTTTTCAAGTTAATACTCATGGTGTTCAACTTATTAGTTATGGCATATGTTTATAGCTAATATTTTTGGTAATTAGTATGTTAAATAATGGTTTTCAAGTTATTAGTTATGGTTTTCGAGTTAAATTTTAGTTTTTAGGTGAATAATTACATTTTCCTCTTGTTTATTTTGTATAATCAGTCATTACTCTTAGTCTATCACACAGTTTATGGTTCTCAGACTTCAATTTGGGGATTAATTAATTATTGGGGTGTAATTAATGGTAATTAGGGTTCAAAGGATGTGTAAAACATTGGTATAGCCCCCACTAGAACAATTGCATAAAATCCATCATATTTGATATTAGGTAGTTATATTCTAGTAAAATAAGTTATCAAGGTAGCAATTTCAAAAGAGTGTTATATTAAGTAGTTTTTCACAAATATTCCCAAGAGGTTCAGAAGCATCATGAAGGCTTACAATAAGACTATGAACTATAAAGGGTATTGGTAGTATTTTTTGCACCACCATTAGCCCTCTTATGTTAATATTATATTTCATGTGGGATCAAGTGAAAAAATTAATTAGTCTACTGCCTTTGCTGGTCATATAAACTTTCAGCACAAACCCCCACTCTAATTTTACAAAAAAAAAAAAAAAAAAAAAAAGGAGGCTACATTAGTAAAGTTGGTTAGCAACGGAACTAGAGAAGTATCACAATCACATGAGAATGATCACATTAAAAAATAAAACTTTAATCAATTTCTTAAGGGAAGGAGATAGAGTAAAGTTGAAACTAAAGGAAAGCATAAATTAAAATACAAACAATTTTGACCATATTTTTTTACTATTAAATTAAAAGATGTGTACTTCCAAAATATCAACTTTTATAATTTTTACAAATAAATAATTTAAAATATGAATGGTTAAAGCTGTGCATTAACATGCGTGACAAGTCAAATGGAACAGATAAAAATATAGACGATAATTATATATTAGTGCACTCAAGTAAGCACTAATTGTTGATCATGAATAGCCACTGCTAAAGAACTCAGCAGCAGCAGCATCAAGAATACTACAGACAACACAACTGGTGACTTTCTTGCTGTACTTTTTTCCTTAGCACAAAGCTGTCATTCATACATTTCAATTAATCTTTTTTTTTTCTTTTTTTGAATGGGATACATTTCAATTAATCTGATATCATATTTGTCAGCTCTTTCAGCTTAAGGGTATGATTCCAGGCTTATAACAACTTTTTTTTTTTTTTTTTTTTTGTCATTATTGATGCTTGAAAAAAGCCAATATCTCAGAATTACCAACGATTAGATAACCACAACAAACTAAAAAGCATAGAGAAAGTCACTTGAGCTTTAGAGGAGCATACCCGGCAAAAGTCTCCTTGTGAGTAGGTAGTCCAGACATCATAGCATCAAATACAGTCACCACCTTTACTTCTGTCAAAATTTTAAAAATTACGATATAAGTAGTGGCGCTAAAGAGTTAACAGCAAAGTTACAACCAAAGCAAGCCATGCCATTTCAAACTAGTATACACAAGTTGATAAACACACACACACAAGCAAATGCTAAAGATTTTCACATGTTCAATGGATAGCTAGTGGATAGGCTTTCTTCTTTAGATACCCAAAATTCCATGTATAACATTAAGGAACATTTTAGAGCTAATTTCCATTTAATTTGTTGATTTACAATCCTTAACTATGTGACTATATATTGTTATTGTTATGCAGAAATCTTTAGTCAGTAAATTGCAAAATCTGAGAAGCAAAGCACAAACCTCTTACCAAGCTGAACTGGACAAGTTCATCAATTAACTTTTGCCGGGCTATATCAAGTCGTCCACTACTGAAATGCTTCTTCAACTTCACCCAATAGCCACAAACATTATAACCATCAACAAGCAAGACAGGGGCAGCACAGTCAACAATCTGATTTGTACTGCATTAAATTGTTGAACAGAAATATCTTCATCAAAAGCTGAGAAGCAAAACTTAAATCAACTATAGGTTTGACCCGGGAGGAAACTTACTAGTAGAGTGCCAAGGTTGGATCCTTATAGAGTTCTGTATCTGGGGGAAGGTCTTCCTTCTCCACCTTCTTTCGACGATAGCTAGTAGCTGGCTTAGGTGTGCTGAATTGTTTATTCTTGAACTCCTACAAAAACAACTATCTGGAGATTAAAGGTCAAATCATCACAACTAACCAGAACTCTTCATACACTAGAAATTTTTAGTACCTTCCATAACTTCAAAAATTGCAAATTTTGTTTAACATTTGTTGTGATCCTTGGAGGAGGTTCGGAATCCTACGAAGGGCCAAATTAATCAACATCAAATCTTTGTTAGCAGTCCTCAAGAAAGATGCATTCACATTAGTGATTAATCGATGCAAAGTTCTAAACAACTTGACAAAAGAAATCTTGAATACTGTTTTAGATATAATTCCCAAAAATGCAAGTGGAACTGTAGTGAGACACTTCAGGGTATGAATTTTTAGTGCAGTTATGGTGATGCAGGAGTCTTGGACTAACTGCACCGTTAAGAGAAATAATAGAATATAGAGAAAGAGAGAAACTAGTAGTGAGAGAGAGATCAGAATTTAGAAATAAAAAGAGAGGAATACATTTATTTTCTTAAATGATGTTTACAGTTCTGTTGTAAGGTTTTGATGATTGTGAACAAATGATGATTATCTAACTAATATGTGTATTGAGATGTGCATGAACAAGTCATGAAGCATGAAAATTGTTGAGAACAGATTAGATCATTGTTGAAGATGGTTCCCAGCATACAATGTATGGATCGTGCTCGAGTTCCTAGGGGGGGCACAAAGAGAAGAAGAGTTACACAAAGAGATGGAGTCTAAACGTACAAACTTATTGATTAAACTTTACAGCAGTTCCTAAGAAGAATGAGAAGGAGTTCTTTGCAAGGAATAAGCAACAGTTCCTAAGTGGGAACAAGCAAAAAGAAGTTCCTTTGAAGGAACAGAAGCTTTGGAGTAGAAGCTTCAAAACAGAAAAATAGGAGTATATTTTTCTAAGAATCATGTAAGTATGTTGGACAAGAGAAATTGTTTGGAACAAGCCTAAGGAACTAAATTGGAACTTCAATCTCGAAGGAACTGACAATCTGGAAGGAACTGAAGTGTTGCTGACAGCCAGTTCCTTAAGGGTCAGTCTAAAATTCGTGTATAGGAGGAACACGAGTTTGCACAGCACTAGAAGTCAGTTTTCAACGTCAGTAGTCATTGCATTATCTTTGCCTACTTTCTAGGTAGTTAGTTTTGACTTGGTATAATTTAATCTAAATAGATTTTATTTTATAAAAGAAAGGTTTTAAAATAAAATCCAATTTTCTTTTCAGTCAAAATGATAATTTATTGTCTTTATTTTCTCCTATATTTTAGGGATTTGTTTTTATAGGTTGTTTCCTATCTAATCTCTAATTAGTTTAATATTTCAAATTAAATGGGTTAGTTATTTTAGGATAAAATACTTTTTATAAAATATTTATTTTTATGGAATAAAATCCGAATTAGTTTTTAATTGATAAAGATCTGATTTGGTTAGGTTTTTATTATTTTATATTTTCTATTTTTTAATTATTTAATTTTTGGAAAATAAAAAATAACTTTTTACGTTTAATTTGAAATAGCCTTTTAATGGAGAAAAATAAGGAGATCATGGAGAACATGTTTTTGACTCCAATCCATGTCTTCCATTACTTCTTATGTTCATGGAGTTAATGGAGATAATGCCTAGAATTTAGGAAACACTATTATTATGGTTAAAGATCATGGGGTGATTGGGTTTGTCTTTAAATCACTATAAAAGGAGATGTTCTCATTCATTCCAAATGGTCTGGCTTAAGTGAGTCATTCCATAGTAGAGTTTGTCTCAAGGGGCAGAGAGGTAGAAAAGAAATATATATTTTCTCTCCACGGTGAGTCAGTTCCTCCGGGTTCCAAGTTCCTTACATATCTCAAAGTGTCCAACATATTAGTTTTATACACTATATCTTTTATATGTATGCGAGAGTTGTTTAAGGGTTTGAGTAAACTCTTGTAATGGGGAATTTATAAGGGTTTGAGTGAACTCTTATATTGGGGTGAGAACTTGAGTGAGTTCTTTGTATGTAGAGCAAGCTTTGAGTGAAGCTTGAGAGAAAGAGAAAGAGTAAGACTTTGAGTGAAGTCTTAGTGAGAAGAGAGGTCTTTAAGGGAAGCTTTCGAGCTGCAACTATTAGAGGGAATAGTTGTTGGGGATATGAGTTCGTTGAGGAACTCGATAGAGGCTCAAGTTCCTCATAGGTTGTAACAAAGTCGTTGGCCTATTTTAGTGGAATGTTTTGAGTCAAAATCCCTTTGGGTCGAGGTTTTTCACTTCCTATTTGGCCTAGGAAGTCTTCCTCGTAAAATCTCTCTTGCACTATTTCTCTACTTGCATTAAGTTTCTTTTAATTCCGCAAAAAGTGACTAGCAATCTCAATACTACAATTCACCCCCCTTCTTGTAGCATTTCATCTAAATAACAAGTTTTGTATTCATCTATGTATGCAAGATTGCAAGACAATCAATTGCTATACGGGAAAAAGCTTCTTCTAAATTCTAATTACCATAGCTAATTTCCTGAAATTCCACTAACATCTTAAACTAATTTTGGCATGAAAAAACCCAAGTAACAAATCAAAGTGAATTTGGTGCCTAAAACTGCTTACTTCGTATTTTGTAACATTATAACATACAGGCAGCTTGAGGAATAAATAAATACGAAGTTAATGGGTATAGAGAGGGAGAAAGGAAACAGGCTTCTTATATATAGAGGAGATAACTAGATAAGGGAGGGATATATCATGAAGAATACTGTTGAGTATGTTGTCTTACTTCAGTTTATTAGTTGAGATTGAACTAAGCATCTAGAAAGCTTGATCTGTTATCTTTAGTTTATGTAATTCCCATTTCATCAATCTAAAATCTCATCTTCTTCCTTTGATTTTGGTCTCGATTTTCCTTTTTATTACAGTCATGACCAGTACTTCTAAAGAGACTTACAAGAATTAGAAACAGAACAAGAGGATAGGAAGGTGAAAGAAGGTATTGATGCTTTGATACTATAGTTTAGCCTATGTTCCATCATCTCAAAGAAGAGTAGCTATAGACTTCAAGGGTAGGCTGCATCAACCCAAATAGATCAACCTGAAAATTAGAAACCGTTTCGGCGTTTCCCTTTGATAACCACTACAAAGTACATTCACCTCCTATATAAACTTACATCTGAAGCCAATTTTCTTTAAAATAAATAGGAAATTTTGTCAAAAACCACCTTTTAATCCTTGTTTTTGTGAAAAACCACCTTTTAAAAAAATGTTGTAACAAACCACCCAATAAAAAATATATGTTGTAATTCACCACCTGTTGCATGAAATTAGCTTCAACTATTAACTATTTAATGGCCATTTGTTCTGTTATCGGTGGCAAATTACAACAAAAAATTTAAATTAGGTGGTTTTTTTACGGTTTTGTTTTTTAAAAAAGGTGGTTTTTCACAAAAACAAGGATTTAAAAGGTGGTTTCTCACAGAATTTCCTAAAAAAATCATTTCTCTATGTAGATACATATGTCAAGTCGAATGATGATGAAATGAGACATAAAATTCCAAAAACCTAAAATAAGTAGATACTACTCAGATTTGCGTCCAATTATGACTTTCACTCTTTTCTTGAACATCAGCTATGTAGAACTTTATTTAATTCTCAATGTATGTACAATTCAAGGAGGAAAACATCCATTGTAAAGAACACATTTTCCGATTAGTAATCTAAGAAAAGCTAAAATTGAAGAAAGTGTGGTACAGCGACCACAAGTGAGAGGAGAGGTAGGGAGGTAAAGCCTTCAGATGGCAAGCAGCTGTCATGTATTATTGTGTACCAAAATCAAGATATGACAAATACAGCTAATAATGCACCAACTCTACAAAAATTAAATCTATGTGCCATAAAAATGCCAAAAGACCAGCTTCATAGTTTATAAAGTCTTAATCTAATTTAATGTTGCCAGAAAACAATGGCACAAGTTAACAAAAATTAGACTTTAGCACAATACATATATTAACTTTGACCACGTTTTACTAAAAGATAAAGATCAATTGTTATTATGTAACATGTTGGATGGTCTCAATAGAGAAAGACTTCCAATAATTACTCTCGCCATTAATGAGAATAACAAGTGCTTGTACTTTTAAACCTCATGTTGTTACAAAACCCGACATGAGGTCTTCAAGTACCAATAGTCTTGTTCGAACTAAAAGTACCAATGCACACTTGTTACTGTCATTAAAAATGAGACTAATTACTTTTTACACAACCTCCTCAATGTATACTTTCATTTATCATTTTTGTATACTTTTATTAATATATATAATTTTATATTTATAGTTAAACTTATGCATTGGCATGTATGCTAGTCAAGTTATTGCAATTATTTAAGAATGGAGTGATACCAATGTCTCTGTACAAATATCTCACTCTTCCTCGTAAAGTGAAATGGAACCTACTTACATTTTTCAATTCATTAATCTTTGCAAGTAAAGTGACATCTTCATAGAATGGAGGTAGTACAAATATAGTAATAAAATCAATTATAATATACCTCCAGTGATCCTTTGTGTTCTTCTTCACTTCTCGAATCTCGATTAGGAAGGTTCAAAAAGCTCTCATGTAAAATCTATTCATGCATGTATGGTTAAAAAATCTCCATCAATTTTCCTCTATTTATTTGGTAAATGTGCCAAAGTTGATAACCTTATTTCTTTTCAATATAATAATTTAAACAAATTTCCACTTATTAAAATTTCCAATGCATAGTTTCAAATTTTGGGTTTTGAATAGTGGAACTAATTAATGGAAAAATAGAATCATTTTTATAATATTTTTTCCCATGTTAAGATTCATTTTTATTAATTTAATCCCCAATGTCAAATGAGAAGAACAACTAGGATCGGACAGACTAACAAGTATATACCTATACTAAAGCAGAGTCTTTTTTCCTAAACTCTTTTAGTTTTTTTTTTTTTTTTTTTTTTTTTTTTTTTTGTAGATTTATTAATTTGCTGTATTATCTATTGTTATGATAAACTTTTGAGTTAAATATTTCTAGAGACTTCTACATTTGAATTTCAATTACCAAATATAAAAACCGAGCATGGCTCGGAAAATATGTAGTTCTACTTTACAGGCAATCTTTTCCAAACATCTAAAATTGTATAGGTCACTATTATTTCTGAGAGAATACTCACCGACAAATCAGGCCCGTCCCTGAGGCAGGCCAGGAGGGGCGGCCGCCCTAGGCCCAGGGAAAAGAGATTTGATTTCATATTGAATTATCTGGAAAGATACATAATATTAGGGATATTTGATTCAATAATCAAATTAAGCTCATAATTTTCTTTTCTTTTGGATATGATGTTTCATAATCTAAGAATTTACGAACCCTAAACTTAAAGCACTGATAATTAAATTAGATTAAATCAAATATAAACCCTAGATTGTGAAATTGATATGATGATAACAACAACAAACAACTTACCTTAGAAGCTGCTTCAATGGGGGATACAAGAATTAGAATCAACGGAGAACGCTTCAATGGAGAACGTTGAGTGCACTTCAATGAAATAACTCAGAGAGGCAGGAAATAGGAATGGAGGCCTTTAAAAGCCATGACCCGCCATAGTTATAAATAAATGGTCTGATAAATAAATGGGGCAGGTCTTTATAGAATCGTCTAATTATGAGATACGTGGGCTTTATAAAAGTTTTATGTAAACATGTTTTAAATATTTTTAAATATTTCCATATACCAAAGCTTGTATTAATTTTTTGTAAGTTTTTAAGAATTTTTTTACAACAAAAACAGTTGATTACATTAATTAAATTGAGTTTACAACAAACAAAAGGACAGTAAATAACATAAGTTATTATTGGCATAAGAAGCCCTTATACAATATCAATTAAGGTCATTAACGATATTTACCTTTTAGCTATTACAACGAGTGAGGACAACGCATATAAGGCTTACCAATATACATTTAAACATGCGATGGGACTATTGATAGAACAAGGGAAGTTGGTGATAATGTTTCGTGTTGTACAAGGTATTTTCTAACATACAATTAAAAGTCTATGAATGTTGCTAAAATGACGGAGACAACCCAAAATCAGTACGTCTTACCCTAAGGGACCCCAATAATTCAAATGGATAAAATCCTCTTGAGATCTATGCTTCATACATGTCAATCACATTTCTTTGTGATCTGACAAAATCATATATTATACTTCCTTCGTCCCATAATATAGTTCATATTGTGTTTTTTTCGCGACATTTAAGAAATGAGAGGAGAAGTGGAAAAAAACGAGACATAAGTACAGGGTAAGTGGATAATTTAGGGGGAAAAAGTGAAAAGGACAATTATAGACAAAAGTTAGAGAGAGAAAGTGAAAAAAGTACAATGCAAGTGGATAAGTTAAAGGTAAATTAGGAAGTTCAATAAATAAAGTAAAAAATAAGGGTATAATGGTCTTTACATACTATTCAAAAATAGAAACAGGAACAACATTTTGGGTCTCTAAAATAGGAAAGCAGAAACTATATTGTGGTACAGAGGGAGTATATATTCTCATACAAGGTCATGATATTGTAATGACTTTTACCGATATCACATACAAATGGGTTTAACAACACCTACTACGGGTTTATGTAAATCTGAAATTGAAATTTTGCTACATCTCCCAACAAACATAAGTAACACCATTTTCATTAAAGGAACACATTTTTATTAAACTAAAGTGATTAAAAAGGGCAATTCCAAGAGTCAAACAACTCCATTTCATCCTCCAATTAACCCTGAATTCGACTTGTCTTCGCTTTTCGATCTATTATATTGGGTGCTTCCAAAATCTAAGTTTTATTTTATAGAAAAATTCAATTTAATTTATTAATCCGAACTTTCAGCGATTTACTCTCAATAATCCCAACTAACATTTATTAGGGAGCATTATGAACTTTTGGGTTGATTTTCTTCCACTAGGCCGATTTACCACTGACTTAAAGAAAGGGTGATTTTTATTTTGTAAAAGCCATGTGTGATGTGTCGCAACATAATTGGTCCAAATTTTTTTTGTAAAAAAAGAAAAAAAAAATTAAAAACCCTTCCCAGCGAGCCACCATCCTTCCTTCCCTTAGCCCCAACCCCCAGCCTGACCGAAATTCGATCGCCCGCCTCCCCTAGCAACCGATAACAGCCGGTCAGCCCTTCCCTACCCCTAAAAACACTCGGGCGACCCACCTACATCATCGAAACCACCCCCCTTCCCCCATCCCCAAAATAGCCCCTCCTTTCCCAGGTCGATGAAACTGCCCCTCCTCCATTCCCTCGTCGTTGAAACGACCGATTTTTTAGCTCCCTCAGCTGGAGATTATTGCCAAGAAATTAAATGTAATTGTGTTACTCTAGGTTTTTGTGGTAGATTTTTTTAGATTTATTTTTACAAAAAAAAATAAATAAATAAATGGTAGTTAGTTGTTCTCAAAGTAGTCATTATAATGGTAGTTGTTGGTAAAATTTTCTTAAATTTTCACAAAATTACCCTATATCTAAAGTATAATACTCCCTTCTTCACTTTTTATTGGATACTTTTTGACTTTTACACATTTGCCAATACACCTATTTGATATATTATTCATTACATACTTTTTAAAATTATAACGATTGAATATTAATAGAGCATTCGTTGAGACGAATCAAACATGGTCTCACATGAATCTTTTACTTTTGTGAGTAAATTTGAAGATTATCTAATACTCCCTCTATCCCAGAATACATGACACAGTCAACATTGCACACATGTCAATGCACTACATTGAATTTATTTGTATATAATTAAATATTATGAAAATTATTTTAAAAATCATATTTTGAAACTTTATATATATACCTATTTAACAAGATATTTTATGATAAAATATGTTTTTATTATGTTAGTAAAAAATTATGATCAAAACTAATACATGAATAGTGAAAAAAGTCCAACAACTCATATATTTTGGGACGGAGGGAGTATTATAAATAATGTTTAAAATCTAAACATAACTGATAAAAAAACGGAGGAAGTATTATGAATAATATTTAAAATATGATAATAACCAATAAAAAGAAACGGAGGGGTACACTTCAAATTAATCATCCTAAAGTTTTTGACAAAAAAATAAAAAAAAAATCATCCTAAAGTAATTAAAATACTTTATTATACATTTTGTTGATACATAACATTATTTTACCTTTAATAATTTTGATCTTATATTTATTATAATTAGTTGATACTATGAAATTTTATACAATGTATCAATTTTTTGTGCACATTATTTATAGAATTCAAGTCAATCTCCTAAAAAATTATGTCGATTAAAGTGATGCGCACTTTAAAAAATGGAGGGATTATTTTTCTTGCATTAAATGTCTGAATTTATTATAAAATGATTTATTATAATTGTAGTTAAAAATATCTTTATGAATGTTATTTTTTTATAGTAATAATTTATTTCAAAGTTATCAAAATCAAGATTCCACTTTAAAGGGATTTAGATGTGTATGTGTTACTGATGATAGTAGTCGTTTTAGGAGTTTTGCTACAAGTTTTTGTTTCTCACATGAGAAAGTTTTTTCTTGTTTTAGGCTTAGAATATTTTAATTATGCAATTTTATTTTGACATTAATTATTTTTACGATATAGGAGAATTCGAGTGAGATGATTTTTAGTGGTTGTGACTATTCACCATAATTTAATTTGGTATGTATGCATGTATGAATTTTTTAATATTCGCATAGTATCATATTAGGTATTTTATATACTTTGAAAATTGAAGTGACATCATTATAAGAAGATTATGATTCTTGGATTGTTTGATAAATTCTATTTAATGACTTGTTTACAAGCATGGTAAGAGTGATATAATTTAATTGTGACATGATACATTTATTAAAAGTGAACTGAATTATGTAATTATATAATTATAAGTAACAAGAAAAAATTAATGTAACCTTAATTCTATTTTATAAGAAAGAGCTACATTTATTATTTATGAAACATGATTATTATTTATTTCTCACTCATATTTATAGATTGGGACAAGTAAGTAAATTTAATACTCTTTCATGGAATGAGTCGAGTCAAAAAAGGATTCCAATGTAGAAGTGTAATTATGCACATTTTATGTGTGTGTCATAACCATGTAATAAATTGATTAATCACAAAATTAAGGGGCGAATGCAATAAATTATTAGATATGACTATTTAAAAATATGATATTCTAACGAATAAATCACAAAAGAAATTCAAAAGAGGTGTGTGAATAGTGGAAAAGTGTAAATAATGCAATTAAAATAACGGATAAATTAATTAACAAATTACATAAAATTATTTATCAATTAACAAATTACATAAATATTTATAATTATAAAAACAAATGATTTATTCAATAAAAGAATTATCATTTTGCCCCGAGCCACCACAATATTAGAAACGGCTATGCGACAAATTAAATCATTATTCCCCAAACAAATGCAACTCAATCCTCAAATATTAAGTAAACAGATAATCCTCTATAATTAAGCTGCCATGCATTATAATTAGCAAATTACTCACCAATTTAAAAACAAAAATTTTAAAAAAATATGTACTTTAGTGGATTGAGATTTCTTGACATTGTCGACAACAACAACGATGCTACAGGGTCTTAAAGTTGATTTCATAGTTTCAAAGAGTTTGGAGTTGCAGTGAGAATCATTTGTCTTTCAGCAAAAATTATGAGATTCATACAAAGAAGAAATATTGAAGGTGTTGTATTAATCTGAATCTTGGTGAATTTTTTAGTAGTGTTTGAATTGTGAAATTGAAACAGCAATTGAAGTGAGATGGTGATTACGAAAAGTTGGATACTCGTCTGATGGGGATGACTATGAGGATTGTAAGCCACAACTCGCAAGCACACCCGAAAAGCCTAAATCAATCAATCACTATGACGTCTCTCAGCTTCGGACTATCGTTTGAGGTTGGAGTAAAAATGGTTAATTAGGTAACTTAAGAAAAACTTGCCACTTAATACCGTGTAATAAAATTATTATTCACAAAGTTTCATATGTGGTTGGTCATACCATGCAGTCAACCAAAATATGAGGACCAATCTCATTTTTAGGCGGCCCAGTCCGTTTGAAGGAGTTTCGTTATAACAGACTCCGTTATAACCCTTCTTCAAAAATTGTTCAAATTTTTTTTGTTTTCCTTTTGTCTTAATTTTTGTATACCGTCATTTCGTCTTCCTTGTCATTTTAACTCTCAACAACTTTGTCTCTTCATTTCCTCTCTCTCAAATTTTCTTTCTTCATTGATTTTCTTTGTTTAATTCTCTCTCTTCTTTGAAATTCTATTTCCTCCATTGTTGTTTTCTTCAATTTTTAATCTACTTCATTCTTCAATAGGAAAACTGAGAATCGTTTACGACAAGAGTACCAAAGGCTCATCTTCGAACAAAAATGGCGACGATTCAGGTAATTTTGCAACCCTAATTTTTCAGTTTTACGAATTTATGCTTGTTTTTGATTTATTTTTGAGTTCTTTTGTATTTTTATGTTTGTCATTATGCATTTTGTATTTTGTTGTCAATTCTTTTTTGTATTTTGTTAAATTATG